GTTATTGGACTCTTTTCTGCTTCTACTGTTTACTAACCCTACTTTTCGGCATGTTGCGAAACACTAGAAATAAAAACGGGAATACTGATGTGCTGGCTTATTTTGAGAAAGTTTCCTCAATCTTTATACAACACTGATTGGCTATATATGAAAGAAATTAAGACATCACTTCCTGATTTGATTTGAGTCTGACAACTTAAGAATGCATCCTCCAAAGTTACCCCATTTTGTATAAAATTACCATTATGTAAAATCGCTAAAACAAATCTCAACTGTCTGGTGAGCAGAAACAGGGATTTGTTTACCAAATAGTCTAACATAGTGCTAATTGTTATGGCAACCAAATGCAGTTTAAATGTAGGTATAGGCATATTGTTTTAGAATATACTTTTAAAATGACACACCTGACCTTTTAATTAGGGTACATGTCACAACATGTCAGTAATGACTCCTTTAAGTGCCCTTGAGCAAATCACTGCTGTTCTGTCCATGGTGCTAAAGGAGAGCAGCTGCCTCAGTGAACAAACACAGAGACATATACTGTGTTTCTAGAAGCTTTCTGAACTAGACCTTCTCTGTTGACTAAATGTACCTGAGTTAGTGACATCACATCTGAATGACTGCAATTCTAGCTGACATGGTGTCAAAAGGGCGTCTATTGTGATTATAGAAAAAGAGAACAGATAAAACGGAAACCTATCTATGACATATTTTAAATGAAATATTAAATTTACATTATCCCATAGCTTGACCTTAAAGCAATTTGAAGACCCCCTGCACCTGTAATAAGCTATAGCAAACACTTTACGTTACTCTTTTTTAAAACAATTCACGACTACAGATAGAGACCGACGTGAAAGTTGTAGCAAAGTAGCTAATAAGGCTCATTTCAAAATAAATATACGGCGGGAGGCAGACGATACCTTAATTTACTCGGTCTCAAAACGAGCCGCGGCAGCTGTCGCCATGTTGGGGCTGTATCCGCGTGTTTTCAGTGAAAAAAAAGGACACTTTTTGAAATTGCCAATTAGTGAGAGCCTGTTGAATCAGCCGACATGTCTTCACCTCCTCAAAATACGCCACCAGCTGAACGACGACACCCAGAAGCAGTAGGGTAAATAAGAAGAGCCAGAAGCACACGTACACACCGGTGGCTGTCACCGAAAAGGCTGTGACGTTCAATGTCTTCCACGGCAGCAGGCAACCATCAAACAGCGGTGCAAACTGAGGTCCGGGGGCCACATGGGGTCTTGAACTGTAATTAAAATGGCTCCAAGCAGTACTTTCATTTAACTAATTTCATTATTTCCTGCTTCATACGTTTTTTTTATCCTCACTTCCATGTTCCATATACTTTAACAAAAAAAACACCTACAATTTAAACCCTGATTAGAGTCTAAATCTTATCCAATGGGAAATATGTAATAAGTATTTAGGCTCACTGACAGGAGGTTTACCATGAATAACTGAATGAGTCTGGGCGTGTCCTCTCCATAGAGCAACTGGTACCAAAAATAGAAATAGACCTTTGTTTTTTCTGTCACCTCCCTCCATGGTTTATGAAACCTCTGTAAATCCAAGCCCTTCTTGCACGATATGTTATGAACAGGAAATTAGGGATATTACCTCACAACACGACGGGGGTCATATTGGAAGCCCATTTTGTTTATCAAATCCTGGAGGTCATTTTCGTTAATTTTGTTCGATTGGAAATGTAATCTGACAGTCCATAACCTGGCAATATTAGGTAAATGAAATGCCCCACCAGTGAAATGGAAATCTTTATGAAGTGAAAAACTAAATATCTCCGTAATAAAAACGATATTTTAATAGGGAAATTCCTTTAAAATGTAGCTTGTACTGTGGTAGGGTGGACCTATCACGCGCGCAACAAGCAGAAAAAGATCAAAGAAAAATACAGACAGATTTAAAATGTCTTATTCATTGTAAGAAAGGTGTTGAATTCACACACTACACTTCACATTACAGAAAGTGAATTGCCTCAGCGTAAAAATCGAACTCAACCCGATTTTATTTCAATCAAAAGGGAGCTGTCATATCAATAAAGCTTCCCCAAAGATCTGTATACTCACCACCATTACGGTGCCCAGCAGGTGGGGACCCTGAAGGTAGATCCCATACCCGAAAGAGGAATCCTTTTTTGAAGCGGATAGTCAGTCAATATCAGATTTATATTCTTTTAAATCTTCTTTTGTAAAGTCCTGTTCGACGCTTGATGGATTGTCATTTAATAAGCGCTCTTTTGATTTGTTTTCTTTAGCCGCCCTTGCTTGCATGCAGAAATCAATCCGCGCTTCCGGTGGGTTAGGCAGGGGATGGATGTGCTGTGACTGTCGCAACATGGACTGACTATATACGCTTTTATAAAATATTTAAAAAACAAGTATACAGCAACATATTTATAATTATTATAAGACAAATGACATGTAACCTTTTTTTAGGCAGACTGGATACGTTATTAGGCTACGTTATACCATAATGTAGTCATTCAGTTCAAATTAGTTTTATTTTGGTAACTTCCTGTCGTTATTATTCATTAAAGTTTTCATTATTGTAATTACAACACAATCAATTTCGTTTCGATGTAGCAACTGTTTTGTTTATTAAAAAAGCCTATATTTTAGTTTTCAAGCTTGTTAAGCTGTGGTTATTCTTAAAATAAAAATAAATAAAGCTAAAGGAAATACAATAACCTATTTGTTGTCGTTCTTTTTATAATGTCTGATTATATTGTATTGTCAATTTCTATACGTTTTTGTACATGCAACTTTATAGCATAATAGTGGTGTTTGAGAAAGCACGTGGACTCCACACTAGTGTATTGAACTCCCTCTTGTTTTCTTGTGAATTTACGCTATCTTGTGGACAGTCAGTGGAATTACACTTTAAATTACATTACATTTCATTGCATTTAGCTGACGCTTTTATCCAAAGCGACTCACAATAAGTACATTCGACCAGGAAGACACAACCTTGAAGAAAACAGAATCATATAAGTACATCAGGTTTCATAGAGCCAAACATTTAAAGTGCTACTCAACTGGCTATAGATAAGCCAGTCCTCGCGCACTCGCTGGGTCCGTTTTCAAGCAGACAGCTCTCACGCACGGGGACTCAGGTTGGAACAGTTAATTGATCTCCCCCGGAGGTCCCGGAGACAAGAACCAGGGAGGAGAAAGAGGAATTTTGTGTGGTTGGGAACGAGCCATAGTCCAGTACATCGGGGCGTAGCCAAAAGTTATGGTGACGATGCACTGCTGTGGGTAAGTAAGACAGGAAAGGGGCGAGTCTCTGGGTCCAGGCAGCGGTGCCGTAGAGACGAACAGTATCGTCTGTAGAGAGTCACCTACAGACGAGTAGTGGTAGTTCGAGTTGGACTGTTCTGACTTGACGAAAAGGAAGGCCCTTTTCTAACAGGGGTGAGAACTGGATGTTACGTTGTAGCCATGAGATAACAAAGGGGCTGAGTCTGACGTTTCCTTACGACCCACACTGGGATCTATTTTTTTTGTTGTATTTCTAAAAGTGTGTTTGTTTATCACGATGTGGCGCGATCGTCTATGTGTATGAAATGTATGTAGTCCTCCTTGCAAGGGGTGGACTGAGTCTTTCGTGCGTCCAAGACCAGGCCCCGAAAGCAGGTAGAGTGCGGAATTGATGACGTTGATGGGAGGACCGACCAATTTGTTTCTGTTATTTCGTTATTGTTGTCTGGTGTACCCGTTCGAGTGGCTTACTGTCGCCGAGCGTACCAGAAGTGGAATTGGATTTAAGAGGGTGTGGTGAGCGAGGAGGCGAGGGGAAGTGCAGCGAAGGTCATCCGACGATCTTAGGTAAAGTTCTGTGACCATGAACGCATGGTACGAGACTACCCTGACGGGAAGGATGTAGGTCCTGTGACAAATTTGGCATGTGGAGGTCGTGCACGTGGCGAGACGTAGTCGGTTTGCTGAGCGACGTGGGCGTGACGCTCCCCCTGGGTTCAAGGGTAGTCGTTTTTGTGTACCCAAACGATAGGACCGAGGTTTTTTACTCTAGGGGTAACATTTAGTCCTGCCCGTCAATCGAAACCGTGTAGCAGCGCCGCGTCTGACTTCTTGAGTAGTAGAAAGCTGAGCCGCGAATTTCGCTATCTTAATGATTGTTTCTTGCACGATTGTCTCGTGAATATCCCGG